TACATCCCATAATTACTTACAAAGTAAATGTATTCATGTTCAACATAAGAACAATAACTGAACATAACAGCATAACAGTACAGAACTGTGTTAACCAAAAAGTGTGTATGTGTGTGTGTCTCTGTGTGCTTGTGTGTGTGTTCGGGCTGTGCAATTCATCGTATTTTAATCGCAACTACGATTTTGGCCTGCCACAATTACAAAAACAACATAATTGAAAAAAACAATTATTTAGCATTGCTAGGTTGTGACAGTGACAACATATTTAATCTAATTAATTTGAGTCTAATTTATATTTATTTATCATATTTATATATGTTTAGTAGCTTGTGGAAGTGCGCTACAAAATATTTGTTGATCTTGTTTATTGGTATTTACCATTTTGATATTATTTATTTAAATATATCATTTATTTAATTAATTTTTGTATTACTTTTTCAGTTGAATTACCGGTATACGTTCTAGGTAATCAACAGTTAAAAAGATAATGTTCAAATTATTATTTGTTTTAAAGTTCAATAAATGGATGTTTTCAAAGTCAATGAATATTTGAACATTATCTTTTTAACTGTTGATTACCTAGAACGTATACCGGTANTCTCTCACATGCCAGAGACACGCAGAGTTATAGTGTTATGATCTAAGGCAAAAGGTACCATGGGGAGTTTTGGATTTGACCTCTACAAGCATTTGCAAACTTTACATTGTATAAAATGCATTGTTTACATCAGCTTGCCATGCTCTTGTCCTTTAAAAATCTAAAGTTTGATTTGTCACATGGTCACGAGAAGCTGCGGAGGCATGCAGTGTACAATAAAGAAAGACAAATTATTCAGAATCAGAAATACTTTTATCATTCCTCTGGGAAAATTGGGTTCCGACAGTTTTCCCCTTACTAAAATAAAAATATAAACAAGAAGGAAAGACAAACAAAATTGAAATGAGTATGTAAAATGTAGTATGTCTTTTATGTGTCTCATATTACAATATATATACTATGACTACATACAAGTCATTTCATGTTATTATATACAAATAATATAATGATTAACCGCACAGCAGCACCCCTTGTGGTCAGAACTCCACAGGGTACCTTCAACTTTTCCCCTGTAGATCGTTACATATCTGTCAGACTCTGGTGATGTGATTTTTCACAGATCCAGTGTAGTCACAGTGTTTTTAGCTTTTTCTAAATCTAGAAAAGTGTGTGTTATTCAATGTATGCCTCTCATATGCGTTTTGGGTTTGACACATCTTCAATGTTCTTGAATATTATTATTCATTTATTTACAAATGACAAATTAAGCTTGGAAATACGAGTTTTCGTAATGTGAGGACTCAATCACTTACTGGCTATAACATGTAAACAAACTTTATTTTAAGATAATTGGATAATCCTTTTTCTTTAAGTGAGTAGGTAGTTCAGAGTTTTCACTTTGACAGGTCACATGATAGTTGTTAAATCCTGATGATCACAACAACTTAAATCTTATTTCAGTTTGTCACAATTGAATACATTTTCAAAGTGAGAATAGGTCCCCAAAGTGAGAATAGGTCCCTCTGAGGTTTTTGTTTGATCATTGTTGATGGTGTAGTTCGTGGTGCTGTGATTATAGCGTGACACTAATGTCATTTTCATATAGTAGGACCTCATGTTAGTTCATATAGATGCAGTATTTTTTAAATAACTTGATATCAAATAAAGTGGCAATAGACAAGTTTTAATTTTTGTTTCAATCAAAAAATTATAAAAGTAAATATCAGTTGCACAATGTACTGTCTGCAGAATACAGACACCATACACTGGTTCCCTTCAAGCCTCACTTTCCCCCGTCAGTTGGTACAGTCTCCTGGGGAAATAAAGGCTTGATTTGGAATTAAAACCCATTGTGTTCTGGGCAGCGTTTGCCTACTCTTTTCCAATCAAAGCTAGCCCCTAGCTCCAAAAGTCTTCATCATCGCTCATTCATTTTCATAAAGCCTGGTTTGTGTCGTCTGCAGCGAAGGAGAGACTGCACATTGCCAGAGGAGGAGACTCTCAAAGGGTGGCTTTGTAAATGGTTTACAGTAAAAACATATTTGAATTTATTCTTGCATGATTGTCTGTAATAATCACTGAGTTGGTGGCTGGTAGTAGGCTCTAAAATAAAAAGTTGTCTTGCTTACAGCGAGGAGAGGGAGGTGTTTAAAAGTTTTCTATTTCCACTTTAATAAGCCGAATATATATCATTAGTGTATATAATAAATAATAGCATAGAAATGTATATTCATAGGTCACAGAAATAAAAAAATGACACTAACTCTTGATTGCAGACGAATTATGGAGAGTTTCTCTATTGAAGTACTACACGTACATGCCAGGTGGTAAGCACAGCTCTGCACACAACACCATCATCACTAGCACCATCATGATCCATCCCACAGCCTGCCTGTTGGCTAACAGCTGATACGTGTGTCCTCAGGTGTGCTCGAGTGGCCCTTCTGGACGAAGCTGATCATGGTGGCTATCGGCCTCACAGGCGGCCTCATCTTCATGTACGTCCAGTGTAAAGTCTACCTGCAGCTGTGGCGCCGCCTCAAGGCCTTCAACCGCATCATCACGGTGCAGAACTGCCCTGAGAAGGACGTGCACCACCCTCCGCCCCGACACAGCACCCAGACCGAAGGCAGGCAGGGGACGGTGGAGGTCCCCATCAGCCCGGCCCCCTCCCCGGCTCCAGAGGCTCAGCAGTCGGACTCTGAGATGTCGGTGGAGGATGCGGTGGCGCCGGAACAAAACCCCGTCTGACCAAATCTGCCCACGCTCACAGAGAATCACACGCTGCTCATCACACACGGTGAGCAGAGCGTGGTTTTTAGACCTCAGCGATGTTCATTTCTGCTCCGTGATGACTGATCTGGAGTCAGGGACTGATTTAATCTCCCTCAGGGTCCACTGAAAAGCTAAAGGGACGCGGATGTGCAAAGTAACAAAGAGAAGAGTAGGTGAGGAGATGTGAAGGAAAATAAAGCCACCTGCGAGAGATTCCGTAAAGACTTCAGTTGCTGCGATATTGAGATTTATTCCTGTATGCACTTTACTGCACTGACATGATTTAAAGGTGAGTTCACCCTGAGGATGCTATTAAAGGTCTCGGTATTCTTCAAACAAACCAACATACCCAGTAGGGTACGTATACCCTACTGCTTAGAAAAGGGAGCTTCATTCAGCTGTGAGTGCGACTACAAACACAATTCACAAAAGCTAGATTTCTCTCTCGACAGACATTAACGGCATTAGACATGATATTTTTAGGCACATGTGAAAGCCGCTTCAGATGCTGAGGATAATCCGACCAGGGTTTTGTTTGAAGCATACTGATGCCTTAACTCTCTTTCAGGACTTCAGACACCAAAGAGTCAAGATGCGATAAGTAGAAAAATATTGTCTAAACAGTATGTAAAGCTCAGTGTTAAAATCTGAAGATGTAATGTTTTTGAAAAAGCTGATTTGATTTATTATCATAGGCCAGGTTTGAAGATTTCCTAATTAGCTAATCTCAAGTAGCCCAGTTGTTGATGATTGTGTTTTTGCACTCTGCAGCATCTAGACTTAACACACAGTGTGAGTCAGTAACAAGTATACACAGAAAGAGGCGAAATGTTGTTCACACCTACAGGTTTAATTTTTTTTTTTTTAAATCTGTCAGGTCACAGAAAATAACATGTTCTCTGTCTTATGGCTACCACAACATAAAGAGCACTCAACATCTTTGTCAAAAGCTTTTTTCTATCTCTGATTGGATAAAATGGCAGTATTCAGGTTGCATACAACTCATATATGTTTTTGCAATAAACAATGAATGTAGAACCCCTCACAGGCCGCTGTGGAGTTACTGAGCTTTGAAGAAGTGATACAAGATTAGTTTTCCATTTGAGTCTGGCGCCACCTTCTGGACAGTGGTGGAGCAGCAGCCGTCTGATGTTCAGCCCTGCAGTCAGTTGTCCCGTAAGGACCACCTAAGATTTGAGCTACAGTCCATTACCAAAATGTTCAGAGTAAGTCCGACATCAGCACATCCTCATCTAGCTGGTCATCTTCATCATCCTTATTCTCATCATCATCATCTGCGTCTTCAGGTTTATCATCTTCTTCATTCTTTGTCTCCAAGTCTTTTTTGAACACCTTTCGCAGTTTGATATTTGGAAGTTTCTTCAGGTCACCAGTCCACTCCCTAATCAATGAGATAACACGTCATCAAACTTTGAGGTTTATGAATGATCACGTGCTTAAAGTCACAATTCTATTAAAGAAAATAATAAATAAATAAATGTTAAACTAAACGAAAAAGAAATTCTATAATCTGCCCACACGTAAATACTTTGAATTAACATTTTAAATTCGTTTTTTTTATGATCGGGTTCGTCAAACTGGATCGCCATGGCTGCTTTTCAAAAATATACATTGTAATAAACAGAAAATAAAATGTGTTATTTTCTACCCACTCACCTGAATGTTTTAAGGTTCTTAGCATTTATGATGTCTGGGATCTCTGTGAAAAAGACAAAATAGGATCATGTATATGAAAGCTGACACATCTTCCGGCACAGACTAAAAACTTATCTCTTTCTACTTCACTTCGAGCAATAAAATTACTAACAAAGCACTTCTATACTAACAAAGCACTGGCTTATCTAAAGCCAGTTGAGTAGGACTTGAAATGTGTTGGCTCTATGAAACCTGATGTACTTATATGATTCTGTTTGTAAGGTTGTATCTTCTTGGTCGAATGCACTTATTGTAAATCGCTTTGGATAAAGCCTCAGCTAAATGCAATGTAATGTAAATCATATGAGTGTATATATTAGGGGTGCACCGAATGGGAAATTCTTGGCCGAAACCGATACCGAAAATAGGAAACAGTTGACCGAAAACCGAATGCCGAAAGGCCGAAAATGATTAATAGAAATATATATATATATATATAATGTATACAT